GAGAGAGAGAGAGAGAGAGAGAGAGAGAGAGAGAGAGAGAGAGAGAGAGAGAGAGAGAGAGAGAGAGAAGGGGGGAGAGAGAAAACGGACGAGAGATAGAGAGAGGGGTCTAGGGAAGACGAGGGGAAGACAGAGAGGTCTATTGCCCGCTCGTACGTACAGATCCCGAGCTCGTGCTCGCAATTCGTTGTGTAAGATTTTGCCTTAGGAACGAGGACGAGGGGCTTTCGATCAAACTTGTGGTAGTTTGTACGTGAGAAGAATTTTGGTTCGCGCCTAGCCGACACCTAGTAGATATGCATGCTCGCGCTGGTCATTCGTCGTGAGAAATTCTGTTTCGCACCTGACCTGATATCTAGTGGACATGCATGCTCGTGCCGGTAATTTGTTGTGAGAAATTATTGCTCTGCACCTCGCTCGGAATCTAGTGGCCATGCACGCTCGAGCTGGTTATTCGTCGTCTAGTGGATATGCATGCTCGTGCCAGTAATTTGTTGTGAGAAATTATTGCTCTGCACCTGGCTCAGAATCTTGTGGACATGCATGCTCGGGCTGGTTATTCGTCGTGATAAATTCTGTTTCGCACCTGACCCGATATCTAGTGCACATGTAAGCTCGTGCCGACCATTCGCTGTGAGAAATTTTTGCGTTGAATCGAATCGAAACCGAGTTTCCTTTCGAGTAACGACGGGTAGAAAGCGAGGGAGAGAGCGAGGGCGAGAGTGAGGAAGAGGGAAAGCGGGGGAGAGAAAGGGAGAAAGGTGGGTCCCACCGGTCGATCGCGCCCGACCGTCGCCCCCCCATAGGACAAAGGCCCCACTGTCTGGTGCGAGGTAGCGTGTGAGTCTAGAGAGAACCACCATCAACCCGCGCCGCCGCTGCAGGCTCCTCCGAGCCCCGACTTGGAGAAAGTTCGCACATGTGTCCCACCCGGTCTAGCCCTGCTGGGGGGAGGGGGGGGTACATTGCCCTAGGCGACTTAGAGCCCCCGGCGAGTGACGCGTCAGGGAGCGTCTGGGCGTATAAACTGAGTCTGCCGAGAGTCAGAAGGGCGATCGGACTAGGACACGAAAAAAGGGGGGGAGTAGTTGGAGAAAGAGCATAATAAAAACTTTAAGCCGCCGGAACCATTTGCTGGGGTGGCATAGGAGGGCGTCGAATAGTTCATCGGCACTAGGGGTCAATAGCGGGGCCCCGACAAAGTGGCGCCGTTGCCGAGGAAGGGCGTTCTCCCACGGCCCCGGCCGACTCTTGAACTGCGGAGTGAGGGAGGACCAGCGTGACAGGCAGTGGCGAGGACTTTAGCGGCATTAAGATTTTCTGGGATTTTCGGCTTCAATTTCTTCGGACCTTCGGCATCTTCTATCGGCAACAACATTTTCATTCTCTACTACGAATTTTTGCGGTCCGTGCGGCGACTTTCGGGTACCGTTTCTACTTGGGCAGCAGCGGTGGGGGTCCTACTTGGGGTTTGTTGGGGCTGTTTGGGTGCAAGGGACTTGGGGTGTCGGGGCTTTTCTTGGATATTGCAGGTCCGCTCCGGCCCGCTTGCGACTCGGGCTCCGGCTCTCGGCCTCCGAGGGGTGAACAGGCCAGTTTCTTTTCGGAGTGAGTGCTTTGTTTTCGTGCGTGTTTATTTCTAAAAAATTAAAAATTAAGGGGGTGCACAGTTTGCTTGAGGGGTCTGAATGAGGGTGAAAAACAACGAAGGGGTGGGAAGAAGAACCGTCTGGGAAAACAGTGTAAGAGGGTCCGCTCGTGGGCGAGAGAGAGTGGGTGCGAGGGGAAGAGAGGAGAGAGGGGTCCGAGAGGGTCCGGGGGCATCGTTTATTTGGGACCCAAGGGGGTTGCCAAATATCCTCGATCCACACGGGTTGTGGAGGGCGCCCACTCCGGGTACAACCTCCGCACGAGAAGGGGTGTCGAGAGAGGGGTTTGGGCCTTCGGTTCTCGACCCGCACGGGTTGAAGACGGGTTGCGTGCGAGACTCGACTCCCGTGAGGGGGTGGGATTGTCAAACGGGGTCGGTTCGGGACTTGGGGGTGAGGAGAGTGGTGCTACGGGTACCAGGGCAGGGGGACGAGAGAAACACACCCACCTTTGCAAGCGAGGGGGATAGAGAAGTGGGAAATACGTGGGGTTCCTTAGACGAGGGGTCGGAGGTCGAATCGTGGGTGGATCGGTGTCTGGCCGATTTCTCGGACTCGGTCCTAGGCGACTATTGAGACTATGATAACGAATATTGAAGGAACCAAAGACCACAAGGTACGTGTGCCTATCAGCTCAACCTGAGAGACTCTTCCTAAATCTCGGCTTTACCCACCCCACCTTTTCAGACTCCCCGATTTGAATTCCAGTGATTCCAAGAGAGAAAAGAGGCAGCTAGAGGCGGAAAAGGAAGAAGGGAACGAAGTGTGAAGACTTCGCGATAAGGAGAACGGGAGGGAATCGATAGGTCGATCTAGTCCTGGGACCTGGGTAATTCCACATTTGAGGTTGGCCGAGTAGAGGCATGGTACCGGATAGGCTAACTTAGGACTAGGGGTCGGTTCGGTGGGGGACATAGGACCCGGGTGTGTGACTTCAGTCCAACTCCGGGGAGGAGGTAAACACCCGTCCTCGGGGATAACCTGTGTCCGCGGCTAGTCTCTATACCGGGAGTAGGAAGGGGTCTCTCAGTATTGGGTTTCATTTGTGGCAAGGATGGGGGGAGGCCCGATCCCGAGAAATCAGAAAAATTGGTGACCTGGCCCCCGCCGCTCAAATCAATAACGGAAGTTAAACAGTTTCTGGGGGTTGTGGGCTACAGGAGGATCTTCATAAAAGCCTACGGTGAGAAAGCGGAACCCCTTAGACGACTGCTTAGGAAATCGGAAGGCTGGGTTTGAGGGAAGGAGCAGTCCCCGACCATGGAAACCCTAAAGGAGGAATTCCGCGAAGGTGGGCAGGTCCTAGGAGTTCCGTTCTTCAAGGACGAGAAGCATCGCCCATTCATAGTTTCTACGGATGCAGGGCCTTACTCGGTAGGGGGCCTCTTATCTCAAAAGGATGGAGAAGGGAAGGAGAGACCGTTACGATTCGAAA